CACTACTCCAAATTCTCCACAATTACTAGCCCCAACACCACGTCTTCTCCCAAGGCCTCATCCTACACCATTGCCACCTCATCTTGCTCCGAATTCACCATTACTATAATAGGGTACCAACACTACCACCTCCTCCAAGGCCATTTCCTGCACTACCACCTTGTCTTGCTACTCGAGACCTACCACCATGAACTCATCAATTGCCTATACCACCACCAACTTCGTATGTGGTATGTAATTGTGACATCTAATAAATGTTGTAACATATAAATCAAAACCAAAACAAGTAATAGCCACATACCATATAATTTATGGGTCAGAGTTACATACTAAGTCACAAATTACTCAAGATCACAATCACGTACCATACAATTTATAGGTCAAAATCACAAATCACACATTTCTAAGTTACAATTATTTATTAAAAATAGGTCACAATCACATATGCTACCCATGTATGACTGTGACCAGTTACCCATAGTGCCCATGGTCAAAATGGGGTCTATAGTCATTGATGAAGACATTGAAGGTGGGCCCATGGCATGGAACCTACTAAATGAAAAAGAATCACACTACAAATCCAGCTAGAGCATTGGAAGAATTTGGAGCAGAAGATTGAGAAGGAGCGCCTTATCCTGCCTCTTCACCACTGCAACCACTATAGGTCTTTGATCGTGATGAACATCAAAAGAAGACTCTGTCGGAGGCCAAAGAGGACGCAAGCATTTTCACCTGCCTCTCCATCACCGCTACACGTACGTCTTCGACAGGAATCATTCATTTTACATAAATGATTTGGGAAAAATGGAGTAGGAGATTGGTGGGTGGGTAGGGTTAAGTATACTTGATTTTTGAGAAAATAAAATAATTACCTAATTTATGAGTAAGGTTTAAGATAATTTTCTGTTAAATAATACCACAATTCACCCTTGACAATTTGGCGCTAAAATACCGAGCAAACCAAAGTAGTGAAATGTGTGTTTGGGTTTCTTGATAACCTCCTCACAATAAGAGGAGTAATGGATTCATGAAATGTATCCATAATAAATGAATAATAATTATAAATGTGTGATTAACAGCTTGTTTTGCACAATAGGTTTTTGAAAAAAAATAAAAAAAGGTTAATTGTGTTGTAAATGATAAGTTTATTAGTGAGTGACAATTATACCTCATCCAGACCTTTATTATCATTGTATCCCTAATCATTTCCTATAAATATGAAGTTTTGATTCTTAATCAAATACATAATTTTATTGACTTCTCTCTTTTTTCTCTAATTTATAACATGTTATCAGTGCAATTCTCTCAAAATCAAAGTGAATTAATTAGAAGATAATAATTTTTATAAGCATAATTATCCGTGTCATGTGAACCAAAATTAATTTGGTGATATATGAATTTTTCTGTATACATATGCATTAAAACGGGGTTGTTTTTTTCTTTTTCTATACTTTTTCACTTGTATGCGAATACATAATAATTATTTTATTATTATGCATAATGATTACTTCCAACCGTGTAGCGTTTATTGTCTTTGTTTATGTGTCGATATATTTAATCAACTTCAATGCATGTTTCATACCTGCACAAATTTTATTTGTACTGGCAGATTGTCTGTACTTTATATGCTTTTAATCAATGATAAACTATGCATATGTGAAATTATTGTAAAATATGCATGAGATTTGATAAGTTATCTTAAATAGTTATTTGATTCTTAAAAAATTTGACATCAGTTGACTATTGAAAGAAAATTATTTTTTAACTAACGAACACTAAATTGGAATCTACCTATCTCGTAAAGATTTATTTGATTCCTAAGATTTTTTCTAATGTTCTAATGGTAATTAATTTTTATATATAAATTTATATCATGTTTGTACGGTAAATAATATTTTTAATCTGATTAAAATTTTTAGATGTTCTTTTATAAATTTTAAATTGATAATCTATTCTATTGTTGCTTTTGAAGTAGTATAACATTATAATTAAGATTTCACAAGAATTATTAGTTACATATCTGTCTATTGAAATATTGTTGCTCTTGAATCAGTACAATATTATTTACATATATTTTAATTAGATTTTACTTTCTTCCGAAAAATATAATCAAATACGATCTAACAGAAATTATATTTTTACTCATGAAGAGTAATTTTTTATAAAATTTATTATCATAATATGTAATTGCTCCTAAATAGCATGAAATTATAATTTTCAATATTGTAGAAGAATATTGATCTATTACTCTTGAATAAAAAATAATAAAATATAACGTGTTCTCGAAATAGCACACTTCTGGAAGAATGTATATCTTGTTGTGTCCCTAAAGAAATATAAATTAAATTACTCAATATTGGTTATAATTTTTAAAGGAATTTTTTTATTTTAATAATATTCAAAAATAATATTAATTTATAGTTCCCGAAGAGCATGACATTCAACCCTTATTTAAGCCCCATTTTTGGGCAGAAAATTATTTTTGAATAGTATTTTATTGGAAATTGTGTGATTAAAAAATAAAAAAAAAAAATTATTTACGTGTAATATTATTTTGTAGGAGAATGTATGATTGAAAATGAATTTTTGAAAAAATGGGAACCAAACATATCGTCAATGTTTCAATATTCAGAGAATATTATATTATTACTTCTAAAAGAAAAAATGTACTTCTTGAAATTAACATTAATAGAAAATAATATTAATACAATATCATGTGCATCAAATATCGTTGAAAGTTTTGGAAAAGCTTTTATTATTTTATCAAATAATGCAAAATTATATATTGACGATACATTTTATCTAGAAAATCCAAACAAAATTTTCTTTGTTTTAAATATACACCAATTGTAATGGATATCATGAACCCGATGTTTGTTGACCCAAATTTTTTTTACTTTGATATGACCAATTAGATCATCATTGGATCAATAATGATGCAAAATTGAAAATTCAAATATACATTCAATGAAGAACCAAAAGATTGTTCGATCCAGTGAATTCCTATACATTATTTGTTCACTTTTCATTAATCGGCATTAGATAAAATAAGAACTGAATTCCATATATTTCTGAAAATTAATTAGGATGATAAAAGAGACGTTGCCGTCCTCCACGTTGACCATCTAGATTTTTCTATATCTAATAGATTCGATACATTTACTAGATGATTGCATAGTATTCGCAACCTAAAATTTACTAAATTATTGCTCAAAAGTTAAATTATGAACATAATTTTCAGATTATACAATCAAGATAGTGTGACTTGTTAATACTAGGTTTTGTTCCACTGAATTTTCTTACAAGATTTTCATTGAGAAACATTTGTATCGTTTTCACAAGAATAAATATACTCTTTTTCCTTCATTGGAATTTTTCCTACTGTGTTTTTTCTAATAAGATTTTAACGAGACATATTCTTTGAGTAATAAATGTCCATAACATAAAAGACATTTACCCTCAAAATAATACTCTAATATATATATGATAGTCTCGAAAAGATCAACAAGAGCTATTTTTCGAATAATGTTATTACAATCAAAAGTTGATAAATATCTTGTATGAAGATTGTTATTTGAAGACTGTACAAGATAACGTGAGACATACTTCACCAAAATTGCAATATCGAAGATACTGATGTATTAGACAAGAATGAATTGATACAAGAATTAAAATTATGAGAGTTGATGTGCTCTTTTTCCTTAATTCAAGTTGTCCTATTAAGTTTTCTAGACAAAGTTTTAACAGACGAATATTTTGTAGTGTCATTCAAGGGGGAATGTTGTAAATGATAAGTTTATTAGTGAATAACAATTGTCCACCTACTGCCCTAAAAATTATTACCATTATATCTCTAATCCTTCACTATAAATATGGAATTTTGACTCTTATTAAAACACACAATTATATTGACTTCTCTTTATTTTTCTCCCTTTTTTTCTCTCTAATTTATAACAAATTGCGTATTTTATATATTTTGTTAAAAACACTCCTTTTTTCGGACTTAAGACATTTCAAATTTAAAGTGTGTTTGGTACACATTATTTTGAAAGAATGTATTATTGAATAGAGATTGATGGAGAATATGTGGTTAAAAATGAAGGAAAAGTTATTGATGTGATGGAAAATATTATTTTATTGAAGAATGTGTGGTTGAAAATGAGTAGAAGAATGAGAATGAAAAAAATAATGTGTACCAAACAAGGCCTTAAATGCAAGCTGAAATAAAATATTTTTAAAAAATAAAATTAAATGCTCTCACTTGCATTTCAAGCGGGCTTTTAACCCTAGGCCCAGTCCATCCCTTCCCAAAAAAGTGGAAACTAGGCCCTATAAAATCAGGGACAAGACCAGGCTTTCAGCATCGGGCCAACAGGCTTTCCTGGCCCATTGCCTCCTCCCATATACAAGGTTACAAGAGGTAGAATGATGTTTTTATTATCGTGTTTCTGCAATTACAATAAACATAAATTCATATATTCTAAAAAATTTCTGTTTTTGTGCCATTTTTTCTACTATTCTTCCATAAGTTCAGCATTTTGTCTCCATTTGCATACTGGGGTCGTTTTCCAAATAAAACATATTGATTGTTAGCCTAGTCAACTAGCAGAACAAACAAATTCGATTTTTGTTATTCACAATTATCCATTCAGACAAAAGCAAGTAAACCCAGTTCTAAAAACAGGCTATCGTTCATAAAAATTAATAAGACATGCGCAATCGTCTGTTTTAACATTAATGTAATGACCACACTGCCTTCAAGCCCTCTAAAGCCTCAGGCCTTTCAGTGCTCAATATTTATTAGCACTTAAATATTTACATGATAGGAGGAAATACCCTTCAAACATCATGAATGCTGGGAACTCTTTGAGCAAGAATCTTCACAAACTTCTCTCTGACATGCTGAATTTTTTGTCATACAGAAAAATTTCTTCATCTGAAGACGGCAAAGAAATTTCGTAAATAGTGAAGTTGGCAACCAGTCAACTCTTATCTCCCAATCATTGGCCCCAAATGCATGCCCTAGAACAAAAACACAAGTGATGAAAGATTCATCAACGTTCAAGTGAAGGGAACTTAGAAATATCAAGTAGAAACAAATATGTTTAATAGAATAACCAAATTTACGAAAAAGAAAACAAAATCTACTCAATCTAGAAAAACATGAAGAATATATACATTCCGAATCCAACAAAAAAAATAGAGACAGCCAGAAGATAGAAGTAACAATGTGCCCACAAAACATAGCAAAGCAAGTACATCACCATGGTCAAAAAGGTTACATCCCTGTGTAATTTATTTTTTACTTTCACATGTAAGAATCATACAACAAGGTAGTTAAGCCATTACAATTTACAAATAGCAAGCTCCAAATAAGAAACTTGGTGGGTAGTTAAGCCATTCCATTTTTAAGATAAATCACTGACACATAGCAATAGAAATACACACACAAGGGAAATGAAAACCTCTAGCACAGTAAACATAATTCAAATGGCTTTCAATTGAATCTCAATGGCAAAAGATCAAAACAGCCCTTGGATATATGAAAATTCAAAGCTTTTCAGGGGCCTGGATTTGCCTTTCTCGTGGATAATTCTTTCATGAATTGATGCATGTCTAGCTAAAGCTTAAAAATCTACTTGAATTTTAAGTTTAAATATATTTTTTTCGTTGGTCAAAGTTTGGAAATAAGTTACGTATTTTAGAAGTGAAATCTACCTTACTGTCGAAATGACCTTTTCCACTTATAAGTGAGAAAAAGAGTAACATATCCAAACATGTTTGGAAAAAAAATAAAAATAAAAATTCCTTAAAAATTAAGCAAACACTAGGCTCGAGGGTTGAAATCAACTCTATAACATTTTAAGTGAACCAACTTCACTGCACTTAGTAGTAATATAGCTCAAAAGCAATTTCCAACCTATTATGTAAGGTATAACTATAAAAAGAGGAAGAAGACAAACTACAAGAAAAATTCCAGCTGCTACCATGGTAGTAGCATGTATAAGAGCCAAAATAGGAGTACATCCCTCCATAGCATCAGGTTATACATGTAGGGGAAGTAGTGCAGATTTAGGAACTGCACATGTAAATAGTAGAGCAGCACACAAAGTAACAAATGAAGAATTGACTTTATATAAATCAAGTTACTTAATATTCGAATAGATCCCTAAATTTGAAACTACTGGTTCTCCAATAAAAACCTAAATTCCTAATAATTAACCCAAATCCCATACAAGATTAGTTATAAATGCTTTTTGACAAGCATTTGCCGCATGAACCAAAACCCTATTAGTAGATAGGAACACATTCCAACCAATTCACAAAAAATATAAATTTGTAACAAATCCTAACATGGACGTACTGAAAAAACTCGGAAGCAAAAAAGGAACTGAACAGGAACAAGATAGATCCGACGAAGATCCTTCTCCTCCCTTTTTTGGAAGAAAAGGAGGATCCGAACAAAATCGATCAAACGGAAAAAATCCGAGAGAATGGTAAGGAAAAAACACATGATGAATTCCAATTTTGATTTACAGAGAAGCTCTGAAAATAGCCCGGTTATCTGTTCAATACAATGAAAATCATGACAAATTGCAACCCAGTCAATTTAAAAGAAATAACTGTTCTCAAAATCCAAAAAAATAAATATATGCAGCAGAATCAGGCTCGTAAATTTTTTCTCCGGGAAGGCTAGTAAAATTTTCTTATGAAACTAAATACAGAATCCACTTGTGGCGATAAAAGCGAATCAATCGCGTGATAAGCTAAATGGGAAGCTACCTATAGTAATGATACAACTCATTTTGTACATAGATTTCTTCTCGTTTTCAATGTCTGAATCTCCCCAAAGTATTCTCCAAGGTAGGTAGACATTGTATTATACTAGGATCAAGTTAGACCAGAATAAGACACGCACCAAACACTATCCAATTCTATGTGTAGTCTTAATTAGGAAAAATCCCCTATCGTTTAGTTTTAGAGGTGTCCAATGGACCTAATAGACCATCACAATCCAAGTTTCAATGGCCCAAACCAAGACCTAATCAACTCTTGACCTACAAGATTTAAGTCACTAGTTTTTGGCCAGTCCATTGAAAGCTCAAACTAGCCAAGATGCACTCTTTAATTTTAAGCTAATTAAAGAAGCTTGCAAGCCCAGTAATATAATCAGTTGAGCTAGATCCTAAAATCAATAAAGCTGATAGTTTATGCTCATCAAATATCCATAATTGGAGCTACGTGAAAAGACAGTTTAATACTTCCAATAAAATTTTATCCTTAAGTTGCATTTTCACTTATGGCTAAATAAATTTGTGATTCCATCACCAACATAATAATTCAGTAGGCTATTTAATAAATTAATCAGTTCTAAGATGTTTTAAGCATAAAAAACTAAAATAAAATAAAAAATGATCTTTAAGGAAATAATTGACTCTCATTAGAGAATTGGGAATATCATAGGGTGAATGTATGTTCCCACTTCCCAATATTCACTATCTCAAGCTTCTATGATATTGGGATATTGATTATGTCATAATCTCACTCTTTATTCTTTGATAAATCAAGAAACACAGGCAACAAACAACTGTAAAATATCCACTCAGAATTAAGAGAAGCCGTTTTGTTGATTACTGAAATTTAGTTATTTAACCGTCTTTATGGTAAATTAAATTTCACTTGTTCAGTTGTTCATGCCAAATGGATTCCAAATATATTAGAGTTACAAATTAGAACTTGGAAGTATCATCTTCGGTAGCCTTATAGGAACCTCTAGTTATAGGAATAGAACTGCATAGCAGCTATGACTGTACTGTGAGCATTGATGTAATAGACAACAGAGAAGAAGAAATCATATTTGAATTGCTTAATATTGTATGAATCTTTATGTAATCTTCTTGTATTTATAAAGATAGGATTGAAATAGCTTAAATGGATACAATTGCATTATTGAGCTTTCAAGAGACTACATTCTCTCATCAAGACAATACCCAATTTCTGCCTTCACCCCTTATTATACAACTTTATATAATACTCTAGAAAGCTAATAAAGAACCAATATGCTGAAATAAACAATTGGATAAGCTAAAATGAACCAATAAACTGGTGGGCCAAAAATGGACTAATAGGCAGCCCAACGCTTCTTTCTCAGCTTTGCGTACGTTGATCGTATAGGAGGTCTATCATAGCCATAACAAATTCTTCACCTATTGAAATTAAGTAGCACGGAAGAGCAAGGATATGGAAATCACGAACAACCTTCTAGTTCCTGGTGATTCATTCATGAATGCAGAAAGTCATGCATCAAAGACTCGTTGATTCCAGAGAATGCCGAGAATTTGGACACATAATTCAGAACACTCAATTTTTCATTTCAATAAATCTCCTTTTTCAAAAGACCCAAGGGGCTTATTTTAAGAATAAAATAGAATAATATTCTATTTGGAAATTTCAAAATACCATAATAAAATCACAATATACTATATTAACAATAACTACCATAAGCAAAACCTTAATCAAAAGAAACAATCCAAAACCATCATAAAGTAATAAAATCTTAAAACAACCACAATAGAGAAATTCTTGAAGTTGGTTGCATCATCTATTGAGAAGTAGACGGCAATATAATCTTTTATGGAATAAAACGACCACATTTATTCATCAATTATAGAAAATTTATATTATAAACTATAAATTATGCCTTCTACATTTATGTACGTAATCTCATATAACCTAGAAAACTTCAATATTTACACAGGAATAAATAATAATGAGTCGCAAAGGATCAAACAAATCACATTTATTAGGAGCACTATTCCTAACAAGAAACCCATTGGATGCTAATGAATAACTCCTAATGCAAGATGGTACGTGAAACAACAAAATATAGAGAATAAGATTGGAAAGAAGAGATTTTGGGAGAGAAAATATCAATTGTCCATGTAATAGAAAAACCCTTGCCTTGTAAACAATGAAAGATACCAAACTAACCAAATTTCCCATCTTCAATCTTATATTAAGAGCTTGTTTGGTAGAGATTAAAATTGAAAAACTAACCGTTATTGTTGACTTTTATTAGACGAGTGGGACCCAATAACGGCTATATTTTCAATTTTAATTGGATTAAAATCTCTCACAAACAAACTCTAAGGAAATGGAATAGAGTAATGTTATTCATCTCTACTCCTGATGATTAGCAGTATATGTGACTGTCCATGTGACAATGGACCTCACATCCTACTTAGCGTTACACAATTTTTTTTTTTAAAAAAAATACGTCTTTAACTTTTCAAAGCAATAACTCTCTATTTGATAAGATTTTTTCAATCACCATTCATAACTACCGCGACTCTACCTTTGTTAGACAAATCGCCACCAGTATTTTCACCTATCTCCATAGGCTCCACCTTCACCAAACACGGTTTCATTGATGAGTACATAAATAAGGCTTCCACCCTGTTCTATTTGACGAGTACATTCTCTTCCATCTTTTTTTTGATTATTCTTTATGTATGTGGAAGATTGCGTTCTATGTATTCCAGATTTTTGTATTTTAATAGATTATAAAATGATCAAGATGCTTATTGTAAAAAAGAATATGAAGTAGAAGATGGCAATGGCTTGTAATTTGAATAAAGTAACGGTAATTTATCCCTCAATTATTGTTATAGGCCTTGCATATATGTAAATGATTTCTTCAAACGGCATTTATGTATGCCTAGCCTGGTATGGGAGTATGGTTGAAATATAGCTGAATGTGAGAATAGATAGAGATGTTTCAGACTGAAAATTGATGTTATCATGTTATGCATACAAATGTGTTCTTCCTTTTTATTTGAACATTGGCTTTGTATATTATCAGTACTGATTGTTGCTTTCGTAAAAGACATTATCCTAAAATGCAGATTGGACAAGGGAATCAGCTAGTTAATCATCAATCTATAGGACAAGCTAGAATTTGTGGTTTATAATCACGTAGGAGATGCTGATAAAAGAATTGGCTAGCTTGGGTGTGGGTTTGT